TCTGTCTACATTCTTCCCACAGATACATTTCCCAAAATAAAGTTATGGGAAGCTGATTGCTCATCATTCATGGATCCACAGACATATAATGGTTGGCTCACTGGGGATATTTTATTTTCTTAGGCTATTATTGGGTGTTTTGCTCCATGCAGAACGTTCTTTTCTGCTCAACCTACCATGCACAGCAAGAATAAATCCAGCTGGCACCTGACATCTTTAAAACTGCCTTATATTTTCTGGGTTCAGAGTCTGTTATTTCACAATATGTCCAGGAGATTTCATGTCTGGGATCAATTTTAATGAGCGATCTAGACCCTCATGCATGGGGAAGCTGAGCCTGCATAATCATATTTTCCTCTGACCATTAAATTATGTGTCCTGTAGAAACAGATTTATAAATCTGTCCTGATGCTACTTGTCCCTAGCATTACCTTGTGACAATTTATGAGCATTCAGGGGGACTTAGGGATTTGTTGCAAGAGTTTAACAGCGAGGAAGTCCTGATGGTACTGTGATTACTACTGATCTCCCTGTAACAACTGGCTCTCTGTTAACCCATCTGTTTTGGGTATAATAATAATGCAAATATTCAGAAATATTCAGCACAGAAGTTTCAGCTGAGCAAAATCAAGAACAATGTCTGCCCTGAGGGCCTGATTTAAGCCCAGTGATGTAAGCCAGGTCCTGTTTTACATTGCCATATCTCTGACAAGCATTATGAGCTTTTAACTTCTGTCAGTTCTGGAATGAAACTAAACATTCTCTATGCCTGCCCAGAAATACAACTGAGGGATGGAAAGGTATGTGGCTTTATTTAATGGTTTGTTTATATTTCATTTTGTCTTTTCATTTTTTTACTTATTTATTGAGCTCCAGATGCTGTGTTCCCCTGGGAATGTTCTATACCAGGTTAGTGTTAAAAACTTTGGGAATATGCATGAGTCTCCTGGGGTGTCTTTAATATAATTTAGGATAATGGGAATACTTAGGGTGGTTCTTGGAACTGGAATTGACTCTACAGGCATTTCTGCTTGTGCTGTCTCAATAGTTCAGCCAGTAGGTGGAACCAGGGGAAAGCAGATGTGTGTTATGTACAAGTGCTCTGGCCTATCCTAGGAGATGCATCCCGAAGTGTCTGCATAAAACTGTGTTTTTAACTTCAGTGTTCTTGTTTAGAACAGTCAAACTCCAAATCTGGAGTTACTTCTAAACAATGACAGGACGACGTTGTCAGACCTTGTAGTACAGAGAATGTTTTAATAAAATTCCTCACTAATCATTTTCACTTGTGAGTATGTCAGAGATAGAGAACGGGATAATCCAGATCACATCATATCCCTCCATCAACAACATCTGGCATTTGCTCAGAAAGGCAGCATCGAAAATGTAGGTTGAACTGCCTCTTTAATATGTTCTGCTGTGAGAAATTAAATGTAGTCCACCCAATAACATGTATCCTGCAAAACACAGCTTGGGCAGCTCTGACTGAAATAAAAAGTTCTCCTTTGAGACTAATTACCACCAAGGAGAAAACAGTGGAAGCTGATAAAGTATTAATGTTTCTGCTGCTATGGAACCACTTCTCCAGCTCTCTTGGCAGCCAAAGGGATCCAATTTAGAAGTCACCATCCTGTCTGAACATCAATAAACTGAAAGGGAAGAACAGGGATAGCTTCTCCCTACCTTCACGCAGCTGACGAGAAAAATACTTGAAAGAAAAAGGTTTTAAGAATAAGATCTTGCAGCACTGAAACAGTAAAATCAATACACATGAATATATTTTTAAACATCTGTAAAAGCTGGAAGCAAAGGGGTTTATTGTGATACTTCGCTGCTTTAAATCAAAGGTAGAGGCTTCTCATGTATTATGTAAAAGTGCTGCAATAAGTCTGTCTAGCTTGCAGTTTGGGCTATATACACTGGTTTCAGCACCATAGCTTGGTTCTTCCAGTTTTCAAAACTAAAACATGCTTACAATTGCAGTATTTTTCAATAGATGGAAAATATATGTTGCCAGAAGGAAGAATGTGCTGCTAAAATGCTGCTATACTTTTTATACCTTGAAACTTGGTAGTAAAACTCCTGGTTATTAAAAATACTGAATTTGTGGCTATGGCAGACAGTGGGTAACTTTTTTATTTTCTCCTTCTCTTCTCTTGAATGTGAAGACAGAAATTAGGTGGGAATTGTTGCTAGCAAGCTGCTCTACAGATGTAAAAAGAAAGCAATTTTGGAGCTTGCCAAACATAAATCAGGAGTGACTTTAATAGAGAATTATCAGGCATAGCAGGGTGAGAAAGGCTTCATACTGTTTTAATGAGGATAGGCTTGTTTCTCCAGAAGCAGAAAAAATAGAACTGATGAATAATTTTGGCGGAATATTTTCTCCTTGGCACCCAAGATAACAAATCTGCAGACTCCAAGATTAAAGAATAATTAAATTAAACAGGTTAATTACCAGTACTTCAGAAAATTAATTTCCTAACAAGCATATTCTTTAATCTTTCTGATATTTTAAAATAAGCTTGTCAAATCCCCACTACAGTGACTTTTGGTGTTCATTTTCTCTTTGCTCTTGTCTCTTTCTTAATCTGAAATCTTATTTCAGATTTCTTACAAAATCATTGTCCTCCTCTTCATTATACTGACCCTAAATAGATGATCCTGAAATCTTAAATTACATGGGTGGATTTTTTTGTTTGATGTTTTTTTCTAATGAAGGATGGGCATTGGGGAAGGCTCTTACAGTGTGATTTCCTGTTGATAGCACTTGTGGAAAGCATTAGTCATGATGATTTTACCAACATACTCATTAAAATGGAAGGGTCTATTTTCTAAAATGTTCTGGGACATTGAAGTAGTAGGGCTGAATGACTTTTCCAAAGAGACTTAGTTATTCCAGTGATGACAGCTGACCATGGAAATGGGAAGCCCAATATTTCTATGAATCTACGGAATGTTTTTTCTCACAGTGAAGGTCTGAGGGACTTAGGAGGGGAGAGGAGGAGAGCCTGCAAGGCTGTACAGGTTGTGCACTTTTAAAGGCTCCAGTGGACAACAGTTTCCAAAGGCTGGGTTTTGCTTAGGTGGTGATGGAGCCTAGGACATGGTGCCAACCCCATCAGTCCATGCCTTCCCCGTTTGTAAAACCCAGGAGTGATGGTACTTTGATGCCTGTCCACACTGACTATCTGAAGATGCTCATGTGCACTGTCCATCCAAGACACTCAGCCACACCTCTGCACAATTCAGCCAGCACATCCAAGATCCACAACAGCCCCTCACTGTAAGGGCACTGAAAAGGCTTCCCTGGCCAGCTCAGGTGTCAGACCTAGAGGAAGGACTGTCGAATAATTTACTGTAAACTCCTGTTTTTCACAAGCCACCAAATGTCTCCAAGCTATTCTGTGCTTTACAAGAATTCAACCTCAGTCCTTCACATATTAACTAAACCCACGGGAGCGTGAGGGCTCCTCTTTGCTGCGTGTGTTGGCTCACAGACACGTTCCTATCTGCACGGGGAGAAGCTGCGGCTCATGTTGACAATAGAAACAAGGGATGGTGAAGGGATTTACTTACAGGGCTGGGCTGTGGCAATGAGCTCTTTAAATAGCTGTGTGACTTTTGTCTGTATATCTGGACCTGATTATTAAGCACTTTTTTTTAATGATCAGCAACAAAGTAAATAGGTTTATGGCACTCGAGGAGGCCTCTCTTCTCAAGTGGCAGATTATTGCACCTACTCAAATGATTGTGAGCGGAATGAAAAATCCTACGATTAAAAGGCCAGGGCTTTTCATTGATCTGAATGTTCCTCTTTTAACAACTCCGACAGCATCAAGGAGCCTTAAAGTGGGAGTAAATTATATTGGTATGTTTTAGTTTAAACAAGAGTTTAAAGGTGTTTTTAAGCCTACTTTAGGGCCAACTGTTTGTAAAGAGGACCTTAATGGAATTGGGAATTATGCCCAGAGCAAACACATTGTCTATTTGGCAGTGATTAGCAATGTGTTCACAATTTAGTGTTCTAAATATAGGATAACAAGTTTCCAAGATATTTAAATACACCTTCAGATACAGCAGTAGCGGACTTAGAAATGTACTTTAATAAAATCTGAGCTTGTTAACAAAGAAAGTGTAAAAGACAGTAAATGCACTTGGCAGAGATATCCTGATGGAAAACTCACCAGCTGTGGGGTCCTTTCCCACAAACTCTTGGGTGAGGCATTTTCTTGATGAAGAGTTTTTGGAAAGCCTTTTGTTTGAGGCATCTCAAACTGCAAAGAGGAAAAAACAATGGGCATATAAAGTACAGTACAGGGAAGGCAGCAAGGGAGGGAATTGCCTTAGCAATTTCTAGAGTCTGACTTTCCTTCTTTGAAGTTTTTAGGGTTACACACTTATTTTTTGCAGCACTAGAAAGGGCTTGTAGACCACATGTGTCCAAGTAGTGCCATGTTCCTTCTGCTGGTGACACCATGTGAATAAATCTGTTTCTTTCTGTGCCTGAGACACTGTGCCCTACTTGATGCCCATGTACAGCACAGGTTTTCTTTGCAGCCATCCTCTTAGAAAAATGAAGTCTTTGCTTTGTCACTTGCCTGATTTGCACCCTTCCTGTACCACAAGCATGGTTGATGTTGTTAAATGTCATCCAGAGTTTGTTGTCTTTGAGACAGGATTTGAGAGCTCAGAATGCAATGAGCCTCTACCTTCTGTGGGTTTTGATAGGAGCTATGGCATCCCAGTACTCCCTGATCTCAGTAATAGTGACCTGGAATCGCATCACTGTGTTACATGAAATTCCTTTCCTACCTTGATTAACCTTCATCAGGTTTTTTTCTGATTATCAAATTTTGAATTGACTTGCAGGCTTGGTTTCTTGAAGTTTTTTTTTACTCATAAGACCTGAGGGGATTTTAACGGAGCACTAAGCAGCACAGGGTTTACAGCCCCCATTTCTCTGTAACGCTCTGCAAGCTGTGTTTCTTTGTTTGCAGGCCACTGGCCAGACCTCCCTCAGCATGACCAGCACTGTCCCAGCCACGACAGAGACCTACACACGGACTCAGTACTGCAGGTGGCCCTGCGAGTGCCCCAAGTCCCCACCCCGGTGTGCGGTTGGCGTCAGCCTGGTCACGGACGGCTGTGACTGCTGCAAGACGTGTGCCAGGCAGCGAGGGGAGAGCTGCACAGAGGCTGACACCTGTGACTTCCACAGGGGCTTGTACTGTGACTACAGTGGAGACAGACCTAGGTACGAAATAGGAGTATGTGCACGTAAGTGATGTACATATATTTTCGACTTAGATATACGCTGGCAGCTCCCGTCAGGCTGAGCAGGGGTCGAGATTTATCGTGTTTTAGATACCTGGCTTCACGCTTATCAGGTCCTCTGTGCATCGTCTTCCATTCCCTTGCAGCTGTCTTTGTTCTCAGGGCAGTTGGCTGGATGAGAAATGACATCTGAATTCCTGCCTTTTGATTTGGCTGCAGCCAAGAGCAAAGACCAACCAGCATCTGAAAGTCTCCATATGTGTAAATAGATTATTCTGTAGTCCCTGTAACAGGAGGAGGTGCTGTAGTAGGCTGGGGATGAAGGAAGGCAGGCAAGCAGCTGGATTTAAAGACAAGCAATATGGGCCCCTACATGAAAACCATGACATTAAGGGGACACTTTTGGCTAATTCCCTATAGCCTTAGAAGGATAGCACCTGGTCTGTAGAATACCCTGACAAAATGGTCAGGAATGAATCATCTCCTATTAGAGTTTGTCAGCTACAAATTGAGGTTTAAGCCTTAATTTTACAATGGTTACAGTCACATTAGCTGTTATGAGACAGAAGGATTTCTTCCCGCCTCTGATAGCAAACTTGGTTCTGTGACACTGGAATGCTTTTCAAGAAAAAGCACAAAAAGAAATTGGGTAGTGTTTTGTGTATTAAGAGTATATTCATTTGTTCTGAGTTCCAGAACATGAGGGGACTCTGATCCTCTCATAAAAGTCAGAAATTATTCAAAATTATTACTCTGGGAATGATTAAAAGTGAAAGGATCATCAGCACAACCACATACATTGCTGATCAGAAAGGCTGCTTTCAGTAAGTCATTAGAACATACAGTCATGGCTTTAGGTCATAAACAGGAAAAAAGCCATTCAAATGAAGGGGCTTCTGGACTGAAACATAAAAACAAATTATTTAAGAGAAAATGTAAGGGTGAAAGGTAACCTGGAGGAGAGCTGAGTGTGAGATGATAGAATAACTGATCCACAAAAGAGGGAAAAGCTCACAAACTTTAGAATATGAGCAGAGGTTACACAAGGGACAGGTTTGCGGAGTTAAGAAGTTCAGGGTAATCTGGCAGATTCTCCCAGAAGTGGTACTAGGTATTGCTCTTCCTCAGCAAAAGGGTGGGAAGTGGGATGTCTAGTAAGAAATGACCTTGGCTTTGCACTGGCTCAGGCACAAAAATTAAAAAAAAAAAAAAAAAAAAAAAAAAAAAAAAAAAAAAAAAAGTAAAAAAAAAAGAAAGCAAGCATGCAAAGGATACAGGCAAAATAACAACAAGAGAAGTTACGTGCTAGGAGCTGTAAGCTTAAACAGTGATTTTCAAGATTAGAAAAGATTAAGGTTAAGAAAAGAGGATATGAGATCATTTAAATGTATTGTCTGAAGTGTGTGTAGAACAGTCATGAGAGGTCTGCAAGAGCAGGTTAGACAAACATTGTCAAGAATGACATCGTTACAGCTGGCCCTGTGCTGGGAGAGGAAAACAGGCTGGATGTTGTCTCAAAGCTATCAGGCTTCCTAGGCCTCTTTAAAGGCCCTCATGTTGCTTTGCATTTGTTTATTTATTTAAATGGTTGTTTTCTTAGTTGGATGTCTTTTGGTCTTTGCAGTCCTCCCACACATCACAGGCGCTCGGTGTGTTTGTGGCAGCAGCACTGTGCTGAAAGAAGACTGATCCCAGCTTCTCCAGTGAGCTCTGGAGGGATTCCCAGTCTGTGCTTTCACTTCCCTGCCACCATGACAACATGTGACACTTATGGTTGTGTGAATTTATGGTTATTTGGTGAGCAGCATTACAGTGTGAAGGGAAAAAGAGGAAGGTCTTGCCGTGGTTAGAATGTGAGGCAGATTGTCTCTGCCACAGAAACCTGTGGCCTTTCCCTTGTTTTCAGCACCCAGGCAGAGGTACAGGACAGGGTCTGCTGATGTGTTCTTTTCATACCCTGGGCCACATAGAGGCTGCATCACCCTGCTCTGAGCCCACCAGCTTCTGTCCTGACCTGGTGACTGAAAGCTCCTGTGAGTGAGAATCCTGTGCTGGGTGTTGGGGACTAACTGCTGTGAGGAACTGGCTTTGCATATGGATGCTTTTGGCTAGATCTAGAGAATCCAGGGCATGAAAGGCTACAGAAACAATATAATTTATGGAAACTGAAGACCCTGAAAGAGTCAGGAATATGTGTTGGGAAAGGGAGTGGGGTCAAACTGAGGGAAATTCAGGCTGCATCTGGACTGCCATGCTGAGGTGTGCCCCAGGATGTAACCACACAGACATCAAAAAAGAACCTGGTGGGAGTCACTGCAGCTCTCCTTTTGTTGTTGGCTTTTCTCTGCAGCAGAGCAGAGGCAGCAGGTGCTGAGCACAGGCCCAGGAGGTCAGGCAGGTGTTGTGCATGTGGGGCTGGGAATAGGGGCATGCCTCCAAATTGCTTTATTTGATGCAGTCTCAGTGAGGTTCTTTATGAAGGCATTCAACAGCCCCTTTGTCTGTGTTTGGGGATGTTCTCATCATGGTGAACCTCTTGGTTTATGAACCTACAGGACACTAAATTAGCATAATCTGGGAGGAATATGCTCGTAGGAAAACACCAGGAGACACAGCATTTTTTGAACTATCATCATCTGTGTGCATACCTAGAAGTCTCTCTGAATTATCAGGCACAGGTCCAGCACTGAGTGATTGCCTTTTCAGGATAAAGGCTTAAGCATTACAAAAAAATGCAGCTGAGTGTGAACTGGATATCTAGATCTGTGCTTGAAATTCCAACAGCTCTCATTTTTTGTGCAGAAGGGATTTGTTCTTGATGTTTTCATTCAGCTCATTCTAAAAATAGGAAGCCTTTGCAGAATTTTAATCCAGCATTTCAATTTGTGTTTTCCTGAAGCAGCTCCATTTCCGACCAGACTCAAAACAGAAGCAACCCAACCAGTGCGTGAGCAGTGCCTCTGTGTGACTAAACAAGAGACTAAAGTTTGAATTTTCCATTGAAAGCCACTGCTTCCAAATAACTGTCTATAATTTGAAACAAACAAAACCAAAAATGCTGCTCTGTGATTCCTGTTCACAAGCAATCAGAAAGCTTGACTTTTAAAAGTGATTTTATTTTAAAAAGTTATACATCAAATATTTATTTTCATGGCTTTATGATGTTTACTTCATTTTCCAAGAAAACTGCTCTGTTATAAACTGGGTAAGATCCAGTTTCCTAAATATAGGAATCCAGTGCCATTTAGTTGCTCGCTTGTTTGTTCTCCCCTTTTGCTTCAGATATACAGTGTTGTGAGCAGCTGTGTCATATGTGCGACTCCATGAAGTCCCCTCATATGTCTTTGAAAAACTCAAATTTCACTATATATTTTTTAAATAATTTTGATTTCTTCCCCCGTAGGTAATTCCTACCACCAAGCTATGAAATTATTTTGGTTTTTTAAAGTAAGAATTTATGCATAAAACTTGTTTTATATTCTAACTTATTTTTTCCTGGAAACATTAAAAGGTTCTCCTGTTTTTGCTGTGATTTAGAATGGAAACAGTTTCCTAGATGGTGTGACTACACATGGTGCAGCATCAGGCTGAACACGTGGCTCCACAGCACTGCCAGCCCAGGGATCAGCTTGGCAAAGGAACACATCAGAGCTGTTTGTTGCAAGCATTCTTTTAATGGTGCTCTGTGTGTTTTTCTCTCTCTTTCTTTCTTTTCAGAGATTGTTGGTGTAGGATGTGTCCTCAATGGAGTCAGGTACAAGAATGGGGAGACATTTCAGCCCAACTGCAAATACAACTGCACATGCATTAATGGGGCTGTGGGCTGTGTGCCCATGTGCACAAACTCACGTCCTCCACTTGTCTGGTGCCCAAACCCAAAGCTGATTAAGATGGCAGGGAAGTGCTGCGAGCAGTGGGTTTGTGATGACTCCAGGAAAATCAGGAAGACATCTCCGCGCCACATCTCCTCTGCAGGTACAGTGGGAATGAGGCAGATCTCTCCTTTCTATCTGGCAGAGTCTACAAGCAAAGTATCAGCTTGTACTGCCAGACCTGGCAGGTGTCTAACCTTTTGAGGGAGATAGAGCCTCCCACACACCACGTGCTGAAGGACAGGACAGGAAAACACCAGTGGAACTCGTTAGTAGCAATATGGATTTGGATGCCCCGTCCCTGGTGGTGTTCAAGGCCAGGCTGGGTGGGGCTCTAAACAACCTAGTTTATCTAGTTGATCTAGTGGGTGCTACCCCTGGCCATGGCAGGGGAGTTCATTGAGATGACCTTTAAGGTCCTTTCCAGCACAAACCATTTCATGATTCTGATCATATGATATTCATCAAACGTTCTTGTACAACCATTCTGGAATTCTGTGTGCCAAAGCCCCCTTTGAAGGGCATGTCTGCTGGAACTCTGAAGATTTCAAAAGTCCTTTTTAATTCTTCATTTTATTTTTTTTCCCCTCAGTCTGAGCCCTCTGGGAAAGAGAATGGACTCAGTTTAATTTGGGACCAAGGCCTTCAGCCCAGGTTATATTGTTATTGTAGTGCAATTTTAAAGCCCCTGTATATTAGGATAGGACTTAAGAGTCTCTTAAGCTTAAGAGACTTAAGCTTACACAACACCTTGATGGCAGTTATTGTGTGGAAATTTCACTGTGAGGTGGACTAAGTTGTCTTTGTGGTAGTACAATGTCATCAGTTCTGAACTGGTGGCATCATTAAACATTCTGTCCTCACACATTTATGGTAATGATCATGTAACCCACTGCACAGAGCTGGTATCATTTGCCTCAAACATGGTCCCAAATGCTTAAGATGGATTCAACTTGCCATATGTCTTAAATTTATTGTCAGAATGACTTGTGACACACTGTAGCGACATTACCACATTAGCTCCTGTTTTAGACCATCTCACAAAAGCAGAGCTCAAGGAGAGATAGGATGTAAACAAAGATTTTGGCTCCTTGGTGGGAAGAGCTTTTTCCCAAACCTTGTTTTTTTGTTGCACAAAAAAAAAGCCTTGGTCTTCATTTGTGAGTTAAAACCACCAGAGTTCAGCCCTTGTTTCTCTGTCCCTGATAGTTCTGAAATGTGGGGTGCATCCAAATTCAGAATATCTACTACTGAAACTGGCCTTATGTCCTCATGGCCTGTGTCCCAAAACGGGCAAAAACATAGCTTTGTTTTCCTGACTTTTCTCCTGTAAGGAAAAGTCTTACAGAAGTCAGAATAGCATTTATTACATGTAATATAATAATTAATATAATAATAAATATAACAGCAAGCAAGCTCAATGCAGCAATTTCTATCAGAATTTTGCCTGTGACTGTCCTGTGAGCTTAAAGCAGTGGGGACTTTGGCTGAGGCTGGGACAGAACCATAACTAGGGTCATTGGCTGCTTTCAAAACAGAGCCCACCCTTTCTTGAAATGGCTGCTGAGCTCTCTGAGAGCTATTGAAGCTGTTCTTCCTCCCACTGAAAGGCTGTGGCTGCTTCCCAAGCCGTCTGCCATCCAGCAGAGACTGTTGACCACTTTCTGCTATGGGGAACCAATTGAATGGGCTCAGAAATAAACCTCCGTGGTGAGATCAGATCTCATCCCCTTTCTCCACCAGCTGGCTCAGGCTTCTGTAATTGTTTATATTGTGGCAGCACCTGGGGGTCCCAGACAAGGACCCCCTTGTGCGAGGCTGTGAAGGGGAATAAAGGAATGAGCCCTGGCCCTGAGCACTCGCAGCGATGGAGAGTCTGACACATGTAGGTCAGCACAAAGGGGGTGGGATGAGGGAGTTCACAGGAATGCTGAGCCACTTCACTGTGGTTTACTTATTTGGGTTAGTGGCCTGAATGTGCAATGAGCTGGGGAGAGGGTGTTTAATATGTAAAGCTGCCCGGGCTGAATAATGTGGGGTTAATCTGTATCCGTAGCGTACGAAGGAGAGGATGAAGCCTGGCAGAAGAACTGCATTGTGCACACCTCACCCTGGAGTCCCTGCTCAAAGACCTGTGGGCTGGGCATCTCCACCAGGATTTCCAATGACAACGACCAGTGCCGGCTCCTGAAGGAAAGCCGCCTGTGCAACATGAGGCCCTGTGAGGTGGATATAACCCAGCACATCAAGGTGGGGACTGCTTCTTTGTGCACCCCTCGAGCTGCATGGACACTGAGTCACCTTTGTTTGGCAGCATTCAGACCTCATGAGGCTGCACTTGTACATGGACTAACTGTGCTGCACAGAGTTCCAAAATATGCCCTGCCTGTGTCAATATGAAAGCCTTTCCCTGAGAATTTCAGCTCCAGCCAAAAGGTCCTTGCAAGGAAAGCCAAGCCAAGTCTGCTGTGCTTGATGCTGGCTTGGACAGCCCTGTACTCAGCTGGCAGAAAAGCAGTGCTGCACGTCTGGTCATGGCTATGAACTCTATTGTGCAAGTATCCTACTTGCAGCTTTTAGGTTCCTCTGTCTAAACATGTAAATCTTCCACACCGCTAGGTCAGGGCTATAAAAGTCTTCCTAATCTACAAATCCCTTTAAACATAGGAATCATAGAATAGAATAACAGAATCCTTAAAGTTGGAAAAGATGTCCAAGATCAGTAAGCCCAGCCTTCGACTGAATACCACCATGCTTGATAAACCACACTGCAAAGTGCCACGTCTATTTGTTTTTTGAATACTTCCAGAGATGGTGGCTCCATCACTTCCCTGGGCAGTTTTTTCAAATGCTTAACCTCTCCTTCAGTGAAGAAATTTTTCCTGATATCCAGCCTGAATCCCTCATTGCACAATTTGAGGCCATTTCTCTTTGTCTAACACTGTTTACCTAGTAGAAGAGGCTGAGCCCCCCATCCCCCCAATCTTCCATTCCTTGCCTCATCCTCCTTTCAGGTAGTTGTAAATAGCAAGGTGGGTTTTATGTCCTACATGTATCAGCACTGAATATTAACCTCTTTGTTTTTATTTTCTTCTCTGATTTAGCCTGGGAAGAAATGCTTGGCTGTCTACAGGGCGAATGAACCCACGAACTACACCATCTCTGGATGTGTGAGCAAAAGCCGATACAGGCCCAAGTACTGCGGCGTCTGCACAGACAACAGGTGCTGCACACCCTACAAGTCCAAGACTATTGAAGTGAGGTTTCAGTGCCCAGATGGAACTGAGTTTTCCTGGAAAATTATGTGGATCAATGCTTGTTTTTGCAACCTGAACTGCAGGAACCCCAATGACATCTTTGCTGACTTGGCTCATTACTATGATTACTCTGAAATCGCTAATTAAATTGGCTGAATTCTGGAATTGACCCTTTGCTCTGATTTTACAGAGGTTTTAAAATAAAAGGAGAATCTTCATCCATTGCCAATGTGCAATTTGTGTTTTTACTGAGTTAGGATGTTGATGGCTTGAGAGGCTATCTAGAAGAGAGGCTAGACAGTGTTAAAGGAATAAAGTAGATATTTATTAAAAAGGGCTTCAAAGGATCCACCCTGGGCAGTACAAGAGCCCAGCCAAGGCTACACCCAAGATGGATGACTGGTCATGAGTTTTCACTTTCATAAATTTTGGGTCCATTTACATATTGGTTAATTGTCCAATTACAGCTTCAGGTTATGAAGTCCCATTCTCCCAGTCTGCTCTCCTCAATTTGATGTTGTTTATACTTTTTGGGCCTGAAGCTGTAGTGGTGTCCTTGGTTCTTGGGCTGTTTTGTCTAAGCTGTGAAGATAACTTGCTTTAGTACTTTACATGAAGTTCAGAGTTATAAAATAATGCAGTAGAGAATCTGGAAAGTATGAAAGCAAAAACCTAAGGCATCAAAGTTAAATCTCTGTTTTGTCACACTGTTTTTGAAGAGGCCTTGAACAAACAAGATTTTTAACTCTAATAGATCTTCATCCATTAACAGTAGCCAGAAATTCCTTTATGCACTGATGTTGGGGCTTATATGGCAGTTCTGTTTGCACTGTCATTTACTAAGCCAGCAGTTTAATTGCCCATAGGGAAGAACAGTACACTAGTATGACAGCAAAAGTATGGCTGTCGTTAGCTTAGACATGAAATTCAGACATCCTTATTATCATTTCTTTATCATTGAATGTTATTATCTAAGCTGGAAAACTGACATATATGTTTTATATTCAAAATTAGACACCAGGATTTGATGGTCTTGCAGCTAAAGTCTAACATCTGTCACACTGAGATCAGTCCTAGAATCACCCCTCTGTTATTCTCAGTCAAAATCTACTGCATGGTGAATTTCATGGGAAAATCCTGGGGGGAAGAATGTTTCTTCTGAAATCTCTGTGTGATGTTTCTGTCTCTCACTGCAATAGGCTGGGTCCAAGAACTTCTGTGTCCTGCTCTCCTTGGACTCACCTCAAAACTCTTTAAATATCTTGTGCCAAGAACATTTTCATAGTTCTCTGCATTCTCTGATTTTGAATAGCCTGGCTGAATCCAAAACAGCCACCCCAGACCTCATGTTTTCAGAATCCATCTAATCCACAGGTGATGTATTGCTCCTAGGATATCTCTGCAGATGAAATGTAGACAGCCAGATAAGAAATGAAGGACATGACCTCTTGCATCCACTTATTCTGATAGAAATAGAAATTGTGTGGCCTGTGCTTGGCGACCACCACCACATCCTGCTCCCCTGGTGTTACCAACACACAGGTGCCTCTTCCCACTGCCACCTTGCCAGTAACACAAATCTGTTTTGCATGACTGGGGTGGAGGAAAGGAGATGTGTTAAATGAGAAAACAGGTGTTAGGCTTCACATCAGCTCTGAGAATGTGTGGATGCAGAATGAGAGGCAAAGCTTGACATAGTTTCTGCATTCATTCCAGATGGGCTAATGCTTAGAGTAAACATCAATGTAAACATTTTCTACAGAAGTGGTCACACACGCAAATATCAGCTAAAAAAAACAAAACAAAACAAAACAAACAACCCTGTCATTACCTTTCCAGGTAAGAAATTTATCACCACTGAAGGATGTTGTAGCCAGTTTTTTCTCCAATACATTTTTAGTACAGCAGCCATGTCCTATGGCACATTTGTTGTTGTTCCAGTTGGGAGAGCAGAATTGTGTTTCTGCATGAACAAGAGAACTGTAGTATCCACTTCAAAAATCCCTGGTGGCACAATAGAACTGTTGAGTGACACATGATCTGGAGATCTGACAAACACAGGGCTGAACTTGGGGTGATGCAGTAATTTTGCTTTACTTTTAGCTGGCAAAGTTTCTGTCTTCATCTTGATAACCCAGCAGAAGCTTGATTAGTTTCTGAGACATAAATTTTTCTGGTGATGATGAACTAAAAGTTCTTGCGAGTGGCCTAAAAATAATACCATGCCTATATAAAAACAATTAGGAAAAATGCTGTATACCTTCAAAAGCTGTTAACACCAATAGCATCTTAATTTGTACACAAGGATTTGGCCTATATATTCTTTATACACCTAGGTAATTCCTGAATTTAAAGCTTTATTTCTTTTTTGAAACTTCCATGAAATCTCTCATGGCAGAAAGGATGGGTGATCCTTGCCCACATTTTCCCATGCAGGTGCAAAGCCCCTCTTCTCTTTCTTTCTCTAGTGATAAGGAACCTGAGGCCACCACATTTTGCAACATTCAACCTCATGACTGCCTTGGCCTGGATGATGCGACAGCAGAATTCATACCTGACCTATTTGCCTCCAGCCAAGCATGACCTCAGCACTTGCAAGAATGAGAATGTTACATTGTAAACTCCATCCCTTTGTTTAAAATGTTCCATGTCAACATACAAAAAAGAGGCTGTGGCCAAGAATTTGACAATGTTTTCCAAAAGGGAAAATGGTGTGTATTAAGAAGTTATAGGGAAGACATACCAGGACCATTTTCTCAACCAGGTTCCCAAATATGACTTGGAACACTGTGTTCTAATTATTGCCCATCTTAAAATGCCATATTTATGCATGTGTGTATACACATAAAAATAAATAAATAATAAATAATAAAAATAGATACACATATATACATTTATATGTAGATGTATGCACACCTATAAAATATAATTTGCAGTCATCTATATAAATATTGTATATAATATTATTTATGAAACCTTATGGAAACATGTCAATGAATATATATGTATGTATATATATGTATATATATATACATATATTCCTATGGTGCATAAAAAGCAGTGCATGTATAATTTGTGTTTGTAAGTACATTCAGTCTTTCTCTGTCTTACATGTCCACATAAGGAAGGAAGAAAACAGGACCAGATAATGTATGAAAATCTCTTTCCCTTAACTGGCTTGCTCTGCTTTGCAATTAGTTAATTCTGTAACCACAGCAATCAAATGCTGCAGTGGCTGTAACACCAGGCTTTCACTGAGAGATAAAAGAAGCTATTGAGAGCTAATGCATGACCAGCAGCTCCAGTGCGTGTCAGTTTTTAGTGAAGTGAATGCCTGGAAACCACAGATCTTGCCCAACGCACCCAAGATGTTTCTGTCTCCAGCCTGGTTTCCTAAGGAAACTGAGTGTATGCAGCCATACTGCTCATTTGTTTGTCTGTCAGGTAGTCCATTTGTGGGAAATGTCAAACAAAGCAGGCAGAAGTGTAAGGATCTCAGAAGCATTGCAATTCCTTCAATAAAACATGAAATCAAAGAGCAGGGCAGGGAAGAGGCCGACCACACTGTCCCTGCCAAGCCCGTGCACACCTGCCCGGCAGCCACTGCACCCAGCAGGTCTGCAGTGTGGCCCAGCCACCCCATCAGCACAAAGGGCTTTTCAACAGATTTGCCAGCTGCAAACGAGTAGCCATGGAGGAGGCAGAGCTGAAGGAATCACAGATGGGGAATAGTGGTTATTATAGTGCTGTAAAGGAGTTTTGTGGAGACATTGGACACAAATCTGTAGGAAACCAAGCACTGTGAGCTCTACTGCTCTGCTCGTGCCACTGGTTGTCTGTCCAGTGGCTCTGAATGGGCAAAAGAGTCACTTGTAGCCAATTAGCTTGATCTTAACTCTGTGGTGCATTTGAGATCCTTTGTTTCAATGGGTGTTTACAAGAAGATTAGCCCTAGGACTAAGGCAACAGTCCAGCTTTAGATTCAGTTCCCTGGCTCCCTCTGTGCCTGGGGAAATCGTGTATCCTTTACAAAAGTACTTTTGTGGTTACTGTTTTAATTCACTGAAGATCTAGATCCCCAAAGGCTTTTATGGATCCAGCCCTTTACTTCACTTTTCCTCAGGATTTCAAAGCCAGAACATGGCTCTACTGTTCATTTCCTCTGTTGGGAGTGAAAACTCCTCCAGCAGGAACTGATGCTTGCTGTACATTTGTGCAATGGGCCAGGTCTCTGCTGGGACCTGAAGGTGATGCCACCATCCAAGGAAGAACAATTACAGCATTGAGGAGATACCAGGATTAGACCCCTCTGCTGCAATGGGCAGGTGAAAGGCTAGAGAAAGGATGAGAGTGACAATTTTGCAATCCACCTAAGCCAAGACAGTTTAACACACATTCAGCTCATGGCAACCATCCTGTTGGTCCTGTAGGCTGGGTCAGGGATGAAGGGTGGGATTTTGAAGGTCTGGTCATGCTGGTTCATACCAGCAGGCATGAAGCTTATTAAAATGCCTTTCACTGAAGTGTTGGCTGGAATTTAAAACACCATTTTGGTGTTCATGCAACTGGAAACATGGTGTAGTGCAGTTGTCATGTTTTTGATGTGTTCACTAGGGTTGTGCTATGTATATGTAATATTCCAGGAAAACCACAACATTTATAAAGACTTGTAAATGAAACCCTGGTATTTTTTTTTTTTTTTGTCCCAGCTTTCTTGAAGGAAATTTGAAACAGTTTATTAAACTGATAGAGACAGTGTTCTCACTATCTAGAGGCACATCTCCATACATTTACCTTCTCAAATTGTGACTTTCCATTTATAGAGTTTCCAATTATAGAGTTATTTCTGTAAGCTTCATATAATGAAATATATGAAAAATTAATCGGAAAACCAGATTGGTTGGTTTTGGCAGTCTGAGTTACTCCAGCTATATAACACATTACTTGTTTGTAAAGCATCATGGTGAGGTTTTTTTAACATGGCACATTGTGGTTTAAAGATATTAAATAATTGGCAAATGGTTAATGAACTGTGACTGACACCTTGTTTAGAAGTTTAGGCAAGCAAATGAAGGTGAAATATATCTGTGACTGACATTTCCGTTTCCCATCTTCTTGCCTGGCCAATGTCCAAGTGGACATTTACAATCTGTGACAAAGCCATGAACTGGAGGACACATAAAAGTAAAGAGCCTGCACTGCAATGTGGTAAAAAAGG